TTTTAAAGCATTGCAGAAGTCTTCACATATTTATAGGCAAATGGGAAGAAGCAAGTGTAGGGTGAGAAACTGAAGATTAATGAGAGAGATGGAGAATGATTTTGGGAGTAGTTTCCTGGGGAAAGTAGGAAAGGATAAAATTGTAAAGACAGTATTAACTGACAGGGAGGAAGGATACATCTAAGATGAAAGGGAAAGAGAAAATGTGTATGCAGATGTTAAAGAGCTACAAGGTACAAAGGAGAGAAATTGAAGAAACTTTTCTTTGTTGATCTTAATCTCAGTAAAGTGGAAGTCTGGCATATGAAGCATAAATAATAATCGAAGGCTCAATCTTGGCGGTACTATTAAAAATGTCAACTTCTGTTATAGCTTTATTAAAACATCGCCCAAGTTACTCATGGTTTTGGAACTCCTGTATAAGTTTTCTAGTGAGCTACAAGTACTAACACGTTTTTGTGATTGCTAAACAGTAATGTTAAATTATGCAATGACATGCCAAACTGAATTACAGTTTGAAACTTGGAAAATTTCATTGAACTCTCTTGCTTTGTGACCTTAAGCAAGGCTACGAATATGGAAGAACATGCAGCATTTGGGTTAAAGGGCAGGTTAGTACAATTAAAGCATGGATTTCCTGTGCCAAAGCTCTGATTTCTATCCACATTTCTACACATTTAAAAAAATCTGGAATAGTTGCATGCTTTCCCCCCCTTTTTGCTGAACTATTGTTAGATTTTTACTTTAAGTAGCTAATTTTCTATGGAAAATAAATGATGATTAATATACTGAGAAAAAGGAGAATTGATATTCTATGAGAAAGGAGATTCAGCCACATCTTCGATCATGTTTGTTGGAGTGTGTTCAGTTCTGGGGGCCACAATTTAGGAAAGACTTTGATAGGGTCAGAGAACACACAGAGAAAAGCGACCTGGGGCGTGAAGGGCATTGAGAACTTTCTATGTAAGGATCATTTGAAGGAACTAGAGATGTTTAGCCTGTAGAAGAAACTTGCTGTATAATCACTTGGTTTATTGTAGAGAGTATCCTTGTTCAGGTATGAGTTAAACTAGCTAGTCAAGTCTCTTCTGACTATGAGATTCTATCATTCTGTGATAATGAATTCTAAAATTACATGGAATTTTTGTTACTTTGCAATCTACATGATCTTGGGAAAGTCAGAATCTCTGTATGAATATTATTTCATTCATAAAATGACATGATTGGACTAAATATTCTCTAAGTCCCCATTTCATCTCTAAATCCTATAATTCAGTAACTAGAGAGGCATTTGAGAAGATGTTGTTCGTAGTTCAGTGCTCGTCCTCTTCTCTCATTGGCGAGTTCCATTCAAGGCCTTCATTTTGGGGACATTAGCCTGTATTGGCCTTGCATTATTTCCCTCCTAGCTGTGCTTCTGGCTTTAAGGACTTTGCCCCTATAACTCGGCTGCCTTCTCAACCCTAGAAGATATTGCAGGGTGAGCTGGCTCCAGACACCGATGATCGGTGTCGGGAGCCAGCTCATCCTGCAATGTTTTTCCAACATGCTGGTCCCCTTCTCCCATTATTGAGTTCCTTTGAAAGACTCCGTTTTGAGGCTACTATTTATGCTAGCCACGATTCATTACCCTCCTGGTTGTACTTCTGACTCTGCTGACTTTGCCACCGTGTCCCTTCTTAGGTTCTTTCCCCATCAGCCGTAGTTTCCTTTTATGTATTCTAATGGGACAGCTAGGTGGAACAGTATATAGTGCCAGGCCTGGAGTCAGGAAGACTCAACTTCCTGAGTTCAAACCTGGCCACACACACTTACTAGTTGTGTGAACCTGGGGAAGTCCCTTAACCCCATTTGCCTCAGTTTCCTCATCTGTAAAATTGAGCTGGAGAAGGAAATGGCAAACCACGCCAGTATCTTTGCCAAGAAAACTCCAAATGGGATCATGAAAATTTGGACATGATCCTGAAAGGACAGAACGACAAAAATTCAAATAAAAACTCATTGTAGGTTCTTTTTTCTTGTATTTGTATCCCCAGGGCTTATTGCAATACCTGGCACAGAGTAAGCTCTTAACACATGCTTATAGCCTTGCCTTGGCTTTGGTTTCAGTATTGCTGCAGAAGGTGTATTGTAGAAAAAGTGCTGGATTGCAAATTAGGATGGCTCAAGTGTAAATATTAGCTATGAGGCTTGATGGCTGTGCAACCACAAGTCACTTAACATCTCTAAGCCTCAGTTTCCTCATTTGTAAAATGAAGATTATAGTTCTACTTACCTGTTTTGCAGAGTTATTTTTAACATCAAATGAGATGAGTAATGTAAAGCACTTCGCAAAAGCCTCAAAGCATTATACAAATGTCAAACATTATTGCTATTATTTGGAGTGATAGATGCAAAGATAACCATCTTAACACTTTATCACATCTACTCTTGTTTTTTTGTTTATTGGTTTGTTTGTTTTTTTTGCTTTTTGGTGAAGTGATCTGGGTTAAGTGACTTGACCAGGGTCACACAGCTAGTAAGTGTTAAGTGTCTGAGGCCAGATTTGAACTCAGGTCCTCCTGACTACAAGGCCAGAGCTCTATCCACTGCACCACCTATCACATATACTCTTAAAAACCATAAGCCAGATTTCCCCCAACGTTTAAAATAGTCATTCTCAACCTTTGGTGAGCCTGTGATTCACATACTCTCTTACCTAAAAGTGTTGTTACTTCATTTTGCAGATGAGGAAACTGAGGCCAACAGAGTTGAAGGTCATTCAACAAGCTAATGATAAGACTAAGGTCTTAATTTCTGAGAAATAACATCGTATTTCCTCCACCGGTTTTGCCATTAACCTGCTACCAATACTATCACTATCCATACTATTACTAACATGTCTCCTAGTTGTGAAGTCCTATGACCTGTATGTTAATTTTTAAAATGTAAATGAGTTCAAAAAAATTTTAGAGCAGGTTTCAACAAAACCAACCCACAAGATAATTAGAAACATCCTGGAGCACGTGCTCCTTTAAACACCAATAGACTGACCCCAAAGTAGTAAGTTAGGCATTAAGGGAAGTCAGTTTTTTCTCCCCTTTTTGGTCCAGAACTGTATTTCATTGGTGTAGAGAATTCCTAGTAAGGAAACTCCTTCCGCCGATGCAAATGGGCATCAGTTTTGCAATTTGTGGTTTTAGAAAGTTACTTCCAAGTACACAGAGAGTTACTGACTATCTGTTTGTCCTATAGCTACTTTGTGTTAGAGAGAGGACAAAAATTTAGGACCTCTTGCCTTCAGGAAGATCTTTGAACCAGATTGCCTCTTTACCTTCATTAACTTATTACAAAATGGTCATTTTATTAAACAGAAAGATTTACTTACTTTATTTCCCTAACTACTTGACAAGTTATATGGTAGGCTGAAGTTCACTGGCAAAGGTATGCAAAAAGTCTAAGACTCAGTGATTAAATGGCTCTTTTAACCAAACCCTAAGAAAATTTCCATGTTCAAAATCCAGGTTTCCAGGAACAGTAACTAAACCACACTAAGGTATTTGAAACTCATCAGCTCCTGCTTTCCTCAATACTGCAAGGATCGCACAGGCTGGCATTAGAATATTACGTGTTTGGTAAGGAAGAAGGTGTTAAAAGGGAGGTGAGAGGATACCATATAAATCAACATGACAACTTTGCTAACACCACAACTTCTTTCACATATACAAACTCATTTACTTCTAATGTCATCACAAAGAAAACACTGAGTTTTAAGATAGAACCGTTAGGCTTGGAGTGAAGAAGACCTAGGTTCAAATTTTGTCTTTGATACCTACTAGTTGTGTGACCTTGGCCAAGTCATTTAACCTCTGTGCTTTAAGAAATGCTTTAGGACTTAATCTACTAAGTTGGAAATAGATTGAAATCTGCTTGCTTCTGCTTTCCTAAAGAAAACTTCCACATTGGGACTAAATCATAGATACTTCTCATGTTTCGGTAATAACCCAGTAAGATATCATTATTTCCATTTTAGAGATAAAGAATGTGGAACACAAGGAAATGTGTTTGCCTAAAGTCACAGTATTCCTTTTGAGTCCATTTCAAGTGCTGCCTGTGGGCAGTGAGATAACCTATTTGGGAGTCAGGTTGAGAGGTCAGAGCTGGAGATATAATCATAACAAATTTTGTAACATTTCAAAAACTACTTGTTTTATGAAGAAAATTGGTTTGTAGCTATCTTGAGTGTTGAAGGAAAAAAGGCACTCATGTATATTAAATTACTGTGAATTTTATGATGTCTATTATAACAGTTGATCTTGGCAGTTGTTTAAGATGCAGTATGTTTTTTGGTAGAAAAATAATTTGGACTGAAAAACAAGATTTATTTTTCCTAGATAAATTGTAGGTTGACAAGATTGATCTATTTAGGTTTTAATTTTTCCAGAGGCATTTAAAAAATCCTAAAACTGATCAAAAGCGATATTTATAGTTGGTTCTTATGTAAATATTTCAGGAGAGACAATTACATTAATTTTTTTTAAAGGGATGATACTTTTTGAAAATATTTCAAATGCCAGTTCAAATTTCAAAGAGAGGACTTTAGTTCTTGATCTGTTCTTAAATTCTTAAATACCAGATTGAATAATTAGTGGAGTATTTAGGATTTATAAAAGAAAAATAATTAGGAAACTTATTTGAGTAATTGTAATATAAACAATATTTCCTTTCATATGGCAGAGGCTCTTTTCTCTGAGCCCTCACGTTAAGTATCTGCAAACCCTGAGGAAATGGCAAAGCATTTCATGGAGCAATCGTCAGCTCGCCCTGCCCTTCCACACATTTAGCCAATGAGTTGTAAGACTAGGACTGGCTCAAACATTAACTTTCATTTTGGGTACTTTTTTCCACTTGCAAGAAAAGGGTTGTAGATTAATAGTCTGATTTTGTTTTCTTTGTTATTGTTAGTTGTCTTAATCTCTTGTTTTTCACAGCCTTTCCCATTGACCTTCTCTGTTTATTAGGTGTTAAGGTTCTTAAAAACTGTTTTTGGAACTGACAAAGGCATCAAGTTAAAAATGATAGTGTTAAATAACTTGAGGGCAACTCCATTCAAGCTGTTATGGAAAATGACCCAGAATCACCGATCTGTACCAGTGAGACCATGCAGCTTGTATACCTGCACATACAAAACCAGGAATCGGGCCAGTGAGTATATATCACTTGTTTTTTAATCATACTCTTAAATATTTGTTGATTTGATATTACTGTGTGGATATGTAATAACAATCTTCTAAAATAAAAACAGGTTAACATTTTTGTAGACAGGTCAAAATGATAAAGTACAATATCTCATATGTTCTATTATCTAAATAGAAGTGATGCAGATTTCAAATAATAACATTATTAGGATAATAGACTTTCTAATTTTTGTTCCTTTAGATTTGATTTCTAACTGTAGCTCGGGCACCTATCAGTTTCTGAGATTCATTAGTAATGTCTAATTCAAATGCTTGAAAAAGACTCCTAAGTTATTTTTTAGTCATAGGTTTATTTAGTTTCCTCTAAAAAGGAATGTGTCATTAAAATAGACTGGTCTGACTCATAACAAATTTCTTTAAGCTGGGTGTGGCTTCTTCATGTTTGCCCACATCCATGTTTGCCTCATTAAATTTATTTAAGAAACTGGTACTGCGTGATCTAATGTTCTTAAAAGGGAGGAGGGGAAGGAGTCACATTTCTCTAGTTAGAACTCTAGTTAGAAAAGTTCAAATCCAGGATCTGTTTGGTATTAGAACAGTTGTATTATTTTGCTTTGGATAAAAAGGGGTAGGCAAAAGACAAAATTGTCTTTTTTATAAGATACTTAAAACACTCATGGCAGTTGTAGTTCCTGTGTTCTTTTCACATGTTTCCATTTATCTTCACATTTCCTTATGGCTTATGGCGTACCTGAAAAGTGTTTTTAGAGGTACTGCTACTCTATAGGATTATTTTAAATTTATATTTCTTTTACTTCTCTGATAATCCCCAGAAACCAAGGGTAATTCCCTAATGTCTCTTCCATTTTGATCCAGTAACCCATCACCCCAAGTAGCCTGGAACATTTTTGGAGTCTCAACTCTTAAGCATTAAGAGCTTAAGCATTACTCTTCCTTTCTGCAGATATAATGTCTTCTTCAATTTCTGATCTACCTACATTTTTGTATATTATAATTAGTATTTCAATTCAACTTAATACAATTGATGTGGTCTAGAGGTTAGGGGTCCTGGCACCCCAAAATCACGATACCCGGGTCCTGCCC